ATCAGCGATCTCCTGTTCATATGCTTTCTCCAATCTAGTGATAAGACTTCCAAAGTCCTTTTTTGAGGGGAGAGCCTTAACCTCTTCACACCTTATGCATATATGCAGCCTCTCGGCGGGTGTGCCTGAATGCCGAGAGGCCACATATACACGTACCAAAATGTAAATAATGCTGTGCTGAGAGCGCACGCTCCCAGCACACTTACCGCGCGGGTAACGGAAAGCTCCGAATCACTACTTCCAAGATCATGTGACCGCTGTGACAGCTAAATATGGTAGATACTATAACTTTCGCACAAACCAGCTAATAAACACTTCTTGGGATTTTTTAAAATTCTTTATCAGTTTTCACGTCATACAGGGATTATTGGAGCATGATACATATACAAAAATAAAAGTCCACAGCTAGAATCACCACAGATAAACCAGCAGACATAAAGGCTATCAAAACAGCACTCATTCTTTTTGGGTATGAGTCTATCAGCATGGCACATCTTGACTTGGCAATATTTGCCCACTCTTCCTTGCAAAAACACTCCAAAAACACTCCCAAAACTTTCATCTTCTGGTGAAGCCATTCCTTTGTTGATTTGGATGTATGCTTTGGGTTGTTGCCATGCTGAAAGATGAAGTTCCTCTTCATGTTAGCTTTCTAGCAGAAGCCTGAAGGTTTTGTGCCAATATTGACTGGTATTTGGAACTGTTCATAATTCCCTCTACCTTGACTAAGGCCCCAGTTCCAGCTGAAGAAAAACAGCCCCAAAGCATGATGCTGCTGCCACAATGCTTCACTGTGGGCAGGGCGTATTTACGAGGCAAAGACCAGGGGCGTATTTACGAGGCAAAGACCAGGGGCGTATTTACCACAAGGCAAACAAGACATTTGCCTAGGGTGGCATTTTTTCAGGGGGGCAGCAGCATTTTTCAGGGGAGCAGCGCAGCCCCCCCCCCCCTGAAAGAAGTGATGGAAGAAAGGACACACGCATGGGGACCTGTGGCTGTGGGCTGCTTGATGGAGTATGCAGAGGCTGACTCTTGTTCACGAGGATGTCCGGAGCTGTGAAGGTGAGTGTCCTCTCTCTCACTGGGGTGAGGGGTTGTGAGTGTATGAGGGGCGGTGGTAGTGGAAGGCTCTCTCGGGTGGGGGGCTGGGGTGGGGTGTTGTTGGTCAATATCAGGCTCTTATCGTGAGGGAGGGGCATTTGTCCGTGTCAGGGCCTCTCCGTGATGGGGGGGAGGGGTTTGTGTTGCCTAGGGCAGCACAAAACCTAAATACACCACTGGCAAAGACAGCGTTTGCCTAGGGCAGCATTTCACTTGTCCTCCACTCCTCTCCCCCTGGGTGATCTGTGATTTTTTTCCCCCCATGCTCCAGCCCCACCCCACCCCACCTCCCTCTGGGTCTGCCTGCTGCGAGATCACCAAGTTGCCGGAGAGCAGACATCTGGCCACAGCACAGCTCCTATGACAGGAGTTTAAGAAGAGGCTGTGGCTGGAGGAGTGGATCCTGTCTCCTGGCAGCTCATCCTTCTCTATGACTGCCAAGTGAGGGTAACAATCGTACATCTCTCCCTCTCTCTCTCTTTTTTCTCTATTTCTTTCTCTCTCCCTCTCTTTCCTTCTTTCTATTTCTCACCCTCTTTCTTTCTCCCTCTTTATTTCCCTCTCTCTTTCTCTCTCCCTCTCTTTCCTTCTTTCTGTTTCTCACCCTCTTTCTTTCTCCCTCTCTCTTTCCCTCTCTCTTTCTTTCTCTCTCCCTCTCTTTCCTTCTTTCTATTTTCTTTCTTTCTCCCTCTCTTTCTTTCTCTCCCCTCTCTTTCTTTCTTTCTCCCTCTCCTCTTTCTCCCTCTCTTTCTTTCTCTCTCCCTCTCTTTCCTTCTTTCTATTTCTCCCTCTTTCTTTCTTACTCTTTCTTTCTCCTTCTCCTTTTCTCCCTCTCTTTCTTTCTTGCTCTCTCTTTCTTTCCCTCTCTCTCTTTTCTTTCTCTCTCCCTCTCTTTCCTTCTTTCTATTTCTCCCTCTCTTTCTTTCTCCCTCTCTCTTTCTTTCTCTCTCCCTCTCATTCCTTCTTTCTATTTCTCCCTCTTTCTTTCTTACTCTTTCTCCCTCTCCTTTTCTCCCTCTTTCTTTATTGCTCTCTCTTTCTTTCCCCCTTTTTTCTCTCTCTCTCCCTTTCTTTTTCTTTCTCCCTCTTGTTCCCTCTATTTCTTTCTCTCCCCCCTCTCTCTTTTTTTCCCTCTCTCTTTGTCTCTCTCTCTCATTTGGGGGGGGGGGGGGGGGGGCAGCACAAAAACAAAATAAACCACTGACTGTGGGTATGGTGTTCTTTGGTGATGAGCAGTGCTGTTTTTGCACCAACCATATCTTTCTTGGATCTTTCTAGAGATGGAGACCTTATGAATCATCTATATAATCCTGTTCCTCTGCTGTCCTGTAAAGTATTACCCAAATCAAGTTCCCACTTGAGGAGGTACTCCTGAGGTGACAAGCTATGCAGATGTGATAATATTCGATATGACTGTGAATGTCCATGTGGAATCGCTTCTTTTGATAAGCAAACATTTTCAAAACTCTGTGGGCATTAGAAGAGAAAGCACCCTTCCTCAATGGTGAGTTAGGAAGTGATGCAGTTGCAGCACCTTCCATAGTGGGAGAGGAGGCTCAAACATGGCTTGAATTTCAGCTAGGGAGTGCCAATGGTCTCCCGCACAGAAATGTCACACCCTAAATTGGTTATCTTTGAGGGTACAGAGAAATGAACCGTCATGTTAACCCGAGGCGAAGCTTGGGTAAGAGATGACCGGGGTCAGCTAGGAGATAACGCCGACAGAGCTGAGTTTTTGTCCTTCTGTATGAGTGTAAGGTCAGCCCCTATGGTTGGGTGAGAGTATAAGTGTCAGGGTATTTCCCGAGTGGGAGTTTTGTTTTTACCCAAGGCATGTAGCTGAATACATTTTGTCCTAAATTTATGATGAATAAATGTTATTTTCTAACAGAAAGTAGCAAATATTTTTTTTTTTTTTTTTTTCAAAATTTGCAGTCTTTTTTTCATTTATATAATAAAAATCCCAGTGCTGATCAAATACCACAAGAAAGAAAAAAATTCTATAAATCTCATTTGTGTACAGTGTTGCCAGTTAAAGTGGTTGTAAAGGTTCAAGGTTTTTTACCTTCATGCATTCTATGCATAAAGGTAAAAAAAGCTTCTCTGTGCAGAAACCCCCCTAAACCTCACCTAAGTCCCCTCTCGATCCAGCGATGTGCACTGGACTCTCTATTATCCCAGGACTCCCTCTTCTCATTGGCTGAGACAGAAGTGGGAGCCATAGCCAGTGAGCCAATGAGGAGAGGGGGTGGGGCTGAGCGTGTGACCAGACACATGGAGCAGCAGGTGCCCCCATAGCAAGCTGCTTGTTGTGAGGCACCAGACAAGAGGGAGGGGCCAGGAGCGCCTGCGGGGGACACAAGATGAGGAGGATCTGGGTTGCTCTGTGGAAAACCACTGCACACAACAGGTAAGTATAAACATGTCTGTTATTTTTAGAAAAAAAAAAGTAATCCTTTAGTATTGCTTGCCCGCCGCCCTGTAGCAGAAATACTGCTACAGGGTGGCAGGGCTGCACAAAATCACGTACATATACGTGATTTTGCATGTCTAGGTAGGGGGCACACGTGCCCTACCTGTGCCGCCGTTGGCGGCTTCAGCTTTCAATCACCGGGTCCCGGCCAGTGATTCCCCGCCGCCACCTGGCGATCTCTGAGTATCACTGATGGGGGAGAGATCTGTATGTACACAATACAGATCTCTCCCGTCAGCTCCTGCGCACTGCTTTGTATTGCTCTGCATAGCATAGCAATACAAAGCAATGTGCTTACACAGTACAATACACAATAGTAAAACAGCACAGTTAACCTTTTGATCGGCCCAAATGTTATCCCTTCCTGTCCAGTGCCATTTGTACAGTGTCAGTGCTTTTTATTAGCACTGATCACTGTGTCACTGGGGATGTCAGTGACAGTCAATGCCCCCCAAGTATCGAAATGCCTGCCATTACTAGTATAAAAAAAATCAAAATTCCAGTATATATACCTCCATTTGTAGATGGTATAACTTTCATGGAAACCAATTAATTTACACGTATTGGGGTTTTTTTTTTAGCAAAGATATGTCGCAGAATACATTTTGGCCTAAATTTATGACGAAATTTGATTTTTTTATTTTTTTTTATTGGGTATGTTTAATAACAAAAAGTCAAAAACATAATTTTTTTTCTCAAAATTGTCAGTCTTTTTTTATTATAGCGCAAAGAATGCACAGGCGATCAAATACCACTGAAAGAAAGCTCCATTTGTGGGGATAAAAAAGGACATAAATTTAATTTGGGTGCGTTACATGACCGCGCAATTGTCAGGTAAAATAATGCAGCGCGGTATCAGAAAAAATGGCCTGGTCAGGAAGGGGGGTAAATCCTCTGTAGGGCAAGTGGTTAAAGTAGCGCAGCCCCGAATAGCGAAAAAATGGCCTGCTCATGAAGGGTGTAGAACCTTCCAGAGCTCAAGTGGTTTAAAGTTTCACTGTGAGAAGGCTGAAGACTATTGAAATGACAATAACATAGTAAAGCTTCTAAGAGATTGTGTTGCTTGGGTTTCCATGTAGAGATTCAGAGGGGCCCTTACCATGCCAAGTGAAGGGGTCCTGGAGATCCCCTCATCCATACAGGGTGTGTCGGTTGAGTACTGAGCACCACACATCACAGAAGTGGTTAGCCGTACAGAGTGGACGTGTGCAGGGGGCCTGCACAGGAAGCGCGCACCGGCGGTTACACGGGGGCGCGCACAGGCTGCCACACGGAGCCGCGCACCGGGACAGCAGCCGCAGCATCTCTCGTTCTCGGCAGGTGATGGGTCTGGCGTAGACGGTGACCTCTTCGCATGAGTGTGAACAGCAGACACCACAACGGACAGCTGATCACACAGTAGTGGGGGGGTCACATCCCGAATATGAGGAGCGAGCGGGAAACGCCGGCGTCCGTACTCAGGGGCAACCGGGAGAACCGGAGCAATGACCGGAAGAGCAGGGAGGTGGAAGTAGGAGGGACGGCGGGCACCATGAAACAAAGGGAGGAGAGGAAGGCGGCCCTCAGCAAGGTGAGGTGACAGGGGCCGCCGTGTTCATGTGGCCATCATCGCTTTCATTGTGTACTACACGGTGCGTGTACACCGAGCCTGGCAGGGTACCAGGCTGTGATTGGACGGGGCGGTCACATGACGTGTGTGTGTGCGTGCGTGCGTGTGTTTTGCAAGCAGGTTGGTGATAAGGGGCAGTAAGTGGCCATTTTCAAGCTGTTTTCCTGAAATAGATGTGAGGCAGCACCATGGACAGCAGCAGCCTCATGCACGTGGGCACAAAAAAAAAATGTCCTTGATCGGCCCTGTTCACTTCTGAGCATTCTAGAATCGTCAAAATACAGTAAAATCACCGCAAACCACACAGAGCGCATTTGGGTGCCATTCACTGGTAATGGCACCCGAAGTGCGCAAAATAAACAGGTGTTTTGTGTGACAGAACGCTCTAAACTGCGCTCTCCGAAAACATGCCAAAGTCAGCTCCAAACAAAGGTACAGGAGCTACTTTGGCACAGTTTTGGAGCAGGGAGCAGCCCATTCACATGAATGGTAATGCTCCAAAAAAGCGGCAAAAACCACGCATTTAACCTCTTCACGCCGGCCGAATGCAAATGTGCAGCTTCCCGGTGTCTGGGTCTAGACGCTGAGCGGCCCGCACATTTGCGTTCTATTAAAAAAAGTCATTGTGCTACCAGCACACATGTCCGGTACTCACGGAAAGGTCCCGATCGAAAGAGGAGATCATGTGACGGCGTGTCACGCCGGTCACATGACCCTAAACCCTGCCCCGGCTTCTGAAACTCTTAAAGGGCCAGGAGGCTTCGGCGCGAAGGGGTTAAAAACACGCTAAAACCAAGTGGGGCCTTAGGGGCATCTGACATTTCTTTTTAAATGCCTCTGAAAGCAGCTCTAGATGAGCTAAAGTGCATATGCACACAGGCGTATTTTAGAGCAAAAAAAAAAAGAATCGCCTTGAACCGGAATTTAAATAGTATAATTTTTTCCCTTATGCTGATGGCATAAATTAATTCTAGTGGCTAGAATAAATTGATATTCTAGCCTAGTGGTCTCCAAACTGTGGTCCTGGGGCCAGATATGGCCCTTTGCTTGCCTTTGTCTGACCCTTGAGGCATAATTCCTGCCACTGACTCCAGCAATGGGACTCTATTCTTTCTAGTGAAACCAATGATGGGGCATACTTCCACTGACAACAAAAATGGGGCGCTATTCCTCTCACTGACACCAACTATTTCTCACTCAATACCAAACAATGAGCATTGTTTACTCCCCCTTCGGCACAGTCCATCTACCCTAACGTTTAAATCGGCTCTTCAGAACGTTTGGAGACTCCTGTTCTAGCCAGTAGAATAAGTTTACACTGATACGCATCTAAACACAATACATACATTAGTGGCCTTTTTTATGCCAACTTCTGCCAGCATATTTGGAACATTTATTCATACACCTCTATAGGTCTACAGCAGCAACATTTTCAAAACCCTACTTACCATCATTTGATAGATTGGGATTGATTCACGAAGTGGTATCTACCGCTTTAAGACATGTGTTTTTCAAAATGTTTTTTACAATCACAAAAAAAGCTTCTAAAATACTGCATGTTATTTTTCTGATATATGCAGTATTTATCTCATGAAACCATGCAGTATTTTATTTTATGCACTATCCAGTGGGATAGATACAGTGGAGAAGAATTAGAACCCGTCAGTTGTTATTGATAATAAAGAGGTAAAATGGTTTAAACCGCAGAAATATGCCAAATCACTAAGTCAGTGCAGTCCCTGCAGAATATGTACATAAAATGCAGTGCAGCGCTGTGAAAATAAATATGTAGAAAATACTTATTGAACTCTTGCGATAATGCAACTTAATAAATATAAAGTGCAGAAAGATAAATTTATTGCCCTCCTTATGGAGGGTGTCAATGACGGTTTTCTGTACAACTGTCAGGTCAGAAGTCTTTCCCATGATTGTGATTCCTACTGAACCAGACTGAGAGACCATTTAAAGGCCCAGAAACCCTTTGCATGTTATGGCTTAATTAGCTGATTAGAGTGGGACACTTTGAGCCTAGAATATTGCACCTTTTCACAATATTCTCATTTTCTGAGATTGTGGATTTGGGGTTTTCATGAGCTGTAAGCCATAATCATCACAATTATGACAAATCACAGCTTGAACTATCTTGCTTTGCATGTAATCAGTCTATCTCATATATTAGTTTCACCTTTTAAGTTGCATTACTGAAATAAATGAACTTTTGCACAATATTCTAATTTTTCGAGTTTCACCTGTAGTTGTTTTCTAGATGTCAAGTCCATCCACATAGGAGGTTAATGTTACAGCTTGAGTCAACCTTCCTTACACATGAACAGAACTGTAGGCAAAGCCGGCTGGCTGGTACTTGTGGTGCACCGCTGCATCAACATTTGTGTGCAACATTGAAATTTTCAACAACCACACACAGAGACTTGGTTAGGTAGACCCTGTATTACACAGTTTTTGTAAACCTATAGGAGAGTGTACAGAAATTGCAGACCTTACACCTCTAAGCCCTGGTTCACACTGAATCACCTATGAATTGCACAGGAACACACACCACATTCCTGAGAGACTCAGTGCATTGCAATTTGAATCCATTCATTTGAACAGGCTTAAATTGCACCAAAAGTAGTGCATACACTACTTCTGTAAACACAATGCAGCAAATCGCATGGTAGTTTTTTTTTACCATGTGATCTGGTGAAGGCAAACACAATGCGTTTGCACCTGTGTTTGGGGTGTCATCAACATTGCACTGACACCCGCTGCAGATCGCAAGGGCAGTACATTTTAAACGTGGTGCGAGAAATGCAAACAAATTTTGGGTTTCCCGAACCGCGTTCTATTGTGAATCACGGCTAACTCTCTTGAAGCAGAGTCATCCTCAGACAGAGCAAGGTAAACTGAATTGTTACTATAATTTAGAGCTGAATATTCCTACATACAAAACAGTGGCTCATTAACCTCCTTGGCGGTATTCCCGAGTGTAGTTCGGGGTAAAATTTGAGTACCAAGAACGGTAACCCCGAGCTACACTCGGGCTTACCATGCAGCGTTGCTCAGGGAGTCCCTGCAGCGCTTACCTTGTCCTTCACTCCCACGATGTGTCCCCTGCAGCGTCCCCGGCTATCTCCTCCGGTCGATGCCGGCATCCGGCTTCCGTATTCCGGTCCCTGTGACGTCGGGACGTACGGGCGCCCGAACCGGCGGCAATTTTGAAATTTTTAAAAAATTTCATTTTTTTAAAAAATGATTATTACATAGTAAAACATTGCTGTTTCAATGCATTACATACATTTTGTCCCTACTGCTTTGTCCTGTGTCCCTGCCTGCATTTTGACTGTTCTTTCTGCCTGGAAACTTAGAAAAGTCCATGGCGTCCAAAAAGCGTCCCTTTACGTCAAAAGCGGTTTTAGACCAGCTAGAGAACAGCGATAGTAAATCAGAACCACTTGCAGAATTGAGTGATAATGATTCGTGGGGAAATTCGTCATCAGACACTGAAAACGATTTTGTGACTTTGCTCAGCGATGTGCGAATTTGCCTCTGTATTTCAAATTTCAGTGTTTTTGGTTTGATTATATTAATGAATTAAATTTATTATTATTATATTATTTTTTTTTTTGATTATTTATTAAATTATAATTTATGATTTCGTGTTTCAAATTTTATCCTACCCGGGATGTTTAATAGACTCTTGTTCGTACAGATTTCAGTGAGTTATTCCTAAAAATTACAGCCTACAATAAAAAACTACATATTTCCATGCAAAAAAATGGTACCGCTTTCAGCACAAAAAATCGGAAAGAATCATACCGCCGAGGAGGTTAAATAAAAATAAATGTCTTATTCTTATGCTGGGCTCATCTCTTTAAGGTTTTGTCATCTTTGTATTTTTGTGGTATTTTGTTATTTCATGTAGGTGGTAATTCGTCGCCTTCCTCCCAGCATCAGTAAAGAACAATTAGAAGAGCAACTGCATCCTTTGCCTGCACATGATTACTTTGAATTTTGCACTGCTGATCCAAGGTATACATCATATTAATTGAAGTACACTTAGGGGTCTGTTTAAAAAAAAATGATTGCATGAATGTCAGAAACATTTGTGCAAGCTTTCACTGCAGGTACAGTACTCTAATAGATTAATTCCTGCATCATCAGCTTCATTTAATGACCAAATGCAGTATAGTTCTTTGAAGTACCTCAATGACAAAATACACCGCATTTTGGCCACAAGATGAAGCTATTGATACAGGAATAAATATATCAGAAAAAAAATCATTCTGCTTGCACAAATGTGCTTGACATTCAGCCAATAAATGTTTTTTAAATAGACCCCTTAAACTTTATTGAAACCTTTGTTAAATTAAGTAATTCTGCTGAGTTGCTTTGGTGGTTCATTAAAATTAGAATTCAACATTAGAATGCCTGATATATAAATTTTCAGAATGCCATATTTTCTTGTTTGTATATGGATTGCAGTTGTTGTATCTCAAATGATGAAGTACAAATTATCTGTCATAACCTAAATAACTGCACATGTTAAAGTTTTACTCCAGCCTTACCATCAGTCTTGCTCTTTTGTACAGTATATAACGTGTAGTCTCACAAGAGACAAAATCATTCATTTTAAACTCTTTTCCCTTACTGGTAGAAACAGTTTCCCAGCGGTGCATCTGAGAGGCTGAGCCAGCTGTTGATCCGCCTTCTGGGTGGATCCCAACTGTTTGGATCTTTCCAGAGCCTGAACCGGCTATGGGACGTCAGCTGACAGTGAGCTTCAGACTGAAAACTGGTCACAGGAGTTCCGAACGGACTGCACTCATGTGATCCTTAGGAGAAGTATATCCAAAAAAGCTTTGGCCATACTCCTCCTTTAACCACTTCAAGTCCAGACACTTTCACCACCTTCCAGTCCCGGCCAATGCTGTTTTAGCATTTTTTGAGACAGATAAAACTTTATTTTGGTGGTATTTATTCACCACTGGGATTTTTATTTTTTGCTATATAAATGAAAAAGTCCAAAAATTTTGGAAAAAAATATGTTTTTCTTATATAATTTTGCAAATAAATAATCTTTTTTCATTAATCTTGGCCAAAATTTATTCAGCTATCTTTTTATAAAAAAAAAAAATAACCCAAATTAGTTTATAACCAAAAATTTTAATTTTTCAAAATCTTTATTTTATTTATTTATATTATTATTTGAGGGTTTTGTTTTTTTTAACATACTGTCACCCTAGCAGTACAGTGTCACCATAGTGACACTGTACTACTTGTGGGGGGTGATGAAGATTTTTTTTTCTTTATTTACACTGATTGCTTTTACACCCATAAAGACTGTAATCATTTCTCCTTCTCTCTGGCTGCATTCCTGCAGCCATTGAGAAATACTGTGTGAGCTGTGATTGGTCACAGCTTGTCACATGGTACAAGGCTGTTGTGAATAGCCTTGCACCATGTGACCTCTGTGATCATTCACAGATTTCACAAGTAGTAAGCAATGATGTCAGGAAGTGACCTCTTGTTTACTACTGTTCACTGTGATCACTGATTGGTCAATCGGTGATCACATGATCGGGACCTCACACAGAGGTCCTGTACAGCGATCTGTGTTCTGCTGTGCCTGGAGGACAGGCAATGGATGTGGGGGGGGGGGGGGTTTAGATATGTCCACCCGCATCGGCAGTGCTCCCGTCCGGCCATTTATCGACATCGGCCGAACAGAAAGAGGTTAAAATGTTACTAAACCCAGGACCCTGCATTCACTCTATTTGGTCACCCACAGTACACAGAACATGGAAGTGCAATTATTTTAGTAAATATAAACTGCTAATTACCTTTTCTCATCAGCAGTTAGAGCAGTCTTGTGACTTCTATCAGTGTCCAGCCAAGCATAAGTTAAAGCTTGTAGGAGGAGTTTTCATTCTGCTCTAGGAGAATGCAGCACCCCTGACCTCTGTCTGGACAGTGCTGATTGGCCCTGTGCTGATCACATGCACTCTCCCAAGAAAAAAAAAACCCTCTCTAGCTGTACACACCAAACTGAGCACGTGCAAAGTGATGCCACATGATATTTCTTATCAAGAGATAAGAAGGGGACACTGGAAGAAGGGGAGGATCAGAGAAGTCAGGATCAAACAGTGTTTTTACACATTCCATAGTATTAACCCCTTAGGTTCCACATTGAGTATAGCAAGCATGCTTTACTGCATATACAAGCTGATTTTACTGTTATGGGTTTAGTAACACTTTAAGCACTGTATTATCATCAATATACTTCATTGTTTTCTTCTATTGTTAAAGTGATACCTCACCTGTAATATGCAGTCCAGTTTTGGCCATCAATTCACAAAAAGCATATTGGGGAACTGGAGAGAGTGCAGAGAAGGGCAACCAAACTGCAAAGAGGCATGGAGGAGCTCAGCTATGAGAAATGTAACCTCTATATATGGAAAGGCTTCTTCACAGTAAGATCTGTGAAAATGTAGAATACGTTTCCACAAGACCTAGTTCTATCTGGCTCAGTAGATTGTCTGAAAAAATGCATTCCTAAATACACAAAATAAAACTTGATATTAACATTTATAAGTAATACCACCAAGGATTGTTAATCCAGGGAATATCTGATTGCCTTCTCGGGGATAAGGAAGAAACATATTTTTCCCCCCACTGAAGCTACGCATTCTCTGATTGGATGACGTGGAGAGTGTGATGTCACTTCTTCTCCTCTCCACCTTCTTCCAATCAGAGAATACTTTGCATTCATTGAAAAGATGCAGAGCAATCACTGAGTGGCACCCCTGCTATGCGATCGACCTCCTGTGTTCAGGTTTCTAATAGAGCAGGAGCCAGAGGCACAAAGGATACATGGTATTGATAGTAAGGAATGCCCCTTGTGCTGATTTTATTTTTATTTTTGACTAAACTTAGATTTTAAGGTGCCAAACAATCAACTTCACATATTAATAAAAAATGCAACATTTTATTTGCGTTAAAAATGGAACATTTGATATAAAAATTCTCTATGCATAAGGAAGGCCCGACGTTTGACACCATGCATGTAATATCATGAGCACTGAGTTAGGAAGATATACAGTAGTACCAAACAGGGCACCTAAAGTTTGTTTGGCGAGCATCTACACTTATCAATCAGGACTGTATTTGTGAGTTCACAACAGGACTCTAATGGCAGATCCATTTAGATGTCCACTATGATGTCTTGGTGGTAGAGCCTTGGAAATATTAACTTGCTTGAAATTACAGGCATCATGGAGAAATGAATACTGGTAGTCTTATTGTTATCTTTTTTCTGGGCTAATAATGCCTGCTATAAAAGCATCTGCTAGAGGGATAAAAGGTCATGCTAGCCTGCAATCCACAATAACAATATCACAAGAGATCCACTAGGTATGCTCACCTACCTTTGGCTTCTGCAAAGTATCCCAGGTGATTCTATTGTTTTCTTTTGGATTCATTGCTGGTTTGTAAATCCTCTTTTTTAATGTTGAAAAGGGCAAGACTGCAATATTACCCATCTTCTATTCACCTGAAGAATATTGAGTGAAAAATGCTTTGAGTCAAAAGAGTGGAAAGGCAAACTATGCCTAACATCATGATGTAATATGTACTAAGGGAAATGGTCATTTAGAGAAGGTCTTGGTGCACAATGCTCATGATGTATGGTGTCGATTGTTGGTCCTTTCTTGGCCTCCTACACACTGGACATTTTTGCTATCTTTCCTAGTTGCTGTTCTTCCTGGCAGCAGTGTTTTAGCAGAGCCAAACGTTTAGCCCCATCAATCGTTTAGGTATTAATTAATTTAATAATAATTATTCTGGCCATTGGAATGAAAAAACATTCACAAGCTAGGTTCAGACATGTTTACACAGATTTAGGTAGGTTGAATGCTTTTTCTGTCATAACGCCTCTGCTCCTGGACACGCTGATAGTGGGTGTTTTTTTCTCCTCTAGATGCCTATGTGCGCAAAGAAACATAGGCTAACATGCAAGGCCGTTTAGAGGCAGAGAAAAAACGCCAGATGCCCCTAAGAGTCATTAACATCCAGTGTGCATGATTTGTTTTTAGATCAATTACTTTATTTTTAACTATAAAATAACATCTGTAAGTTTTTTTTATTAACGTATTGTTTGTTTGATTGTTGGGAACCTTAAAAGTCCCCTGGGTATAGAATATACCATTAAAGTACTTGTCTTAGTAGGTCCGTGATGTGGAGTCACAACCCATCTGTCAGTCCCATATATCAATATTTCATACTTCTGAGATAAATATCACATGATTTATTGTAAGGCAAAATATGTAAGTGAATTGAATCCTTTGTTTCTTATTTTCTGACTTTTTCCCTAATGTTTATGTTTGTCTTTTTCAGTTTATACCCACATCTCTTTTTCTAGAGCCTATATTAATTTTAGAAATCCAGATGACATCTTTCTGTTTAGAGACAGGTTTGATGGATTTATCTTTATTGACAGCAAAGGTGAGAATAATTGTTTGAATTCTTGCTTAGCTTTTAATTATTGTCCTTTTAGTTCTAATTCCAACGTGATTTTAGATTTTATGTTATATTTATGCAGAAATGTTTGTCACTTTTTGTTTAAATAGGTTGTTAATTCCAGTATATTTTAATGTGTACAAGGCAAGTTAAAAAGTGACATTGCATTTTAAAGGGTTGCCTTTCATACTGTCTCTCTAGAAGTTCCTTAGCAAATGTAGGTAATAGGAACAACAATTCTACTACATTTACAGGTATCCATACCATGTGTGGTTACTTCTTCAGCAGAAGTGTACAGTATTACCTTACTTTGCACTCAGGTTCAAAGTATGTTTTTGAAATGTAGTTTGAGTTCATCGCTATCAAATCTGCCACAATGTAAAAGTCTAAAATGAAGGAATTCTGTCTAGCTCAATTCTGTAAAGTAGACAAGATATCAGTGTAACAATTCATATTTCTTCAGGGTTATGACTAGTGAAACCAGTAGACCAATATGACCAGTGAAAACTGTAGATTATATAAATTGAATTGCCATTTGATAGGTTTGAACTTGAAACTCCAATAACAATTCTTGTAAACTATATGTGGAGCTGTCCAAAATAAACAGATATCTCTTTTTTTTTTTCATATATCAAAAATCAACCCTTATTCAGACTACAAAAACAGTTGAAAAACATTTAAGGCTGTTTAGGTGCCCTATATTTTCTGATTCTAGTGCACCTGCAATATCAATTGTAACATTGTTCACATAATTCTATATTCACAAATATACAAATGCAATACACAGAATATATTATTACATATAAATACCCAGCTTCCAAAGAATTATTTAACCATTTTGTGTATCATACCTGTTCACCCCCTATGGACCAGAGCAATTTTTAAATTTCTTATATGGACCTGTTTATTCGGCGATAACATTGTCATTACTTAACCACTTGCCTACCGGGCACTTATACCCCCTTCTTTACCTGGCCAATTTTCAGCTTTCAGCGCTGTCGCATTTTGATTGACAATTGTGCGGTCATGCAACATTGTACCCATATGAAATTTTTATCATTTTTTTCTCACAAATAGAGCTTTATTTTGGTGGTATTTAATCGCTGCTGGGTGCTTTACTTTTTGCGCTATAAACAAAAAAATGCAAAAAATTTGAAAAAAAAAAAGTTTCTTTGTTTCTATTATAAATTTTTTCAAACAGGTAATTTTTCTCCTTCACTGATGTGCGTTGATGAGGCAGTACTGATGGGCACTGATAGGCGGCACTGATGGGCACTGATAGGCAGCACTGATGGTCACTGATAGGCAGCACTGAAGGGCACTGATAGGCAGCACTAATGAGGTGGCACTGATAGGCAGCACTAATGAGGTGTCACGGATAGGCGGCACTGGTGATGGGTACTGATAGACAGCACTGATAGGTGGTACTGACTGGCATCACTGCTGGGCACTGACTGGCGGCACTGCTAGGCATTGACTGGCGCAACTGCTGGGAACTGACTGGCACAACCGCTGGGCACTGACTGGTGGCACTGACTGGCAGCACTGCTGGGATGCATTGATGGGCACTGGTGGGTGGGACTGGTGGGCACAGGTGGGTGGCACTGCTGGGCAAAGGTGGGTGGCACTGCTGGGTGGCACTGGTGGGCACTGCTGGGCACAGGTGGTTGCACTGCTGGGCACAGGTGGGCGGAACTGGTGGGTGGTGCTGCTGGGCACCGATCATCAGGGCACTGATCATCAGTGCCCTGATGATCGGTGCCGATCCCTGTTCTGACAACTGCCGGTTCTCGGCAGTACTTTCCTCATGCTCTGACAGCGTGAGGAAAGTGCAGCCGAGAACCGGCAATTGCATTTCCCGGGAATCAACGTGTCATTGGACACGGCTGGTTACGTGGTAAAAGGCCGCTGTAATTGGCCTTTTACCACATCACGTGATCAGCTGTGTCCGTAGGACACGCTGATCACCGGGAAATGCAATCGCCGGTTCTCGGCTGCACTTTCCTCACGCTGTCAGAGCGTGAGAAAAGTACTGCCGAGAACCGGCAGTTGTCAGAGCAGGGATCAGAGCGGGGGCGTGCAGGAGAGCGTGTTCTGGGAGGACGTCATGTGACGCCCTCCCAGAACTGGCCGACCGCAGTGTAGCCGTCATTCGGCTATCTGCGGTTAGCAAGTAGTTAAGATAACAACATTATACATATTTTTTTTTTTTAAGTACAAACAAGGCTTTTTTTTTTTGTGAATATTGTCTTGCAACAAAGATATTTTTTTCTACGTTTAGACAATTAAACATATTAAAAACTAAAGTTCTGAAAAAGCTCACTTACAAAAAGATATTGATAAGATAGAACGAGTCCAGAGACGGGTAATAAAAACAGTGAAAAGTCTTGGAGATAAAACATATCAAGAGCAACTTCAGCTACTTAACATGTACAGTCCAGAGGAAAGAAGGGAAAGGGGAGATGATATTGAAACCTTTAAGTACAGCAAGGGGGTGAATAAGGTTCAGGAGGGCAGTATTTTCAATGTGAAACCAAAATCAAGAATGTGGGGACATGACCTTAAACTAACTGGAGGAAAGTTCAAAACTAATCCCAGAAAGTACTATCCAGGGGCGGACTGACCATTTGGAAACTCAAGCACTCCCGAGGGCCCGGGGTCAGTAGGGGGCCCCATGAGATGCCCCTGGTACCTTTTTCATAGGCTTTTTTTTTAGTTTGGGCAAGGACGCAGGGTCCCCATGATCCCCTATTGCCCGGGGGCCCCATGAGTTGTCAGTCCGCCCCTTGTACTATTTTACTGAAAGAGTAGTTAATGTCTGGAATAAACTTCCAGCAGAGGTAGTGAGTCAGTCAACAGTAAATGACTTCAAACATGCTTGGGAGAAGCATAGATCTATACTCAGAGAAAAAAGTTAACAAAAAACAAAACAAAAAAAGTTTCTTTGTTTTAACAAAACACACTTTTTCTTTTTTTGAACAGTGTTTAAAAATAGTGTTACTGCACATAAAAAGTATGCATTTTCTTCTGCAATGTATCCTGATTAAAATGACACTAAAATGATTCTGGTACAAAGAATTGTGAAGTTTTTTTACAACTGAAGTTGATTTTTTTTCAACTTTTTTCAAGGTGATACGTGTAAATATATGTTAAAAGTGTAAAAATATTAATAAACAGAGCAATTGAAGAAAAAAAAAGTTTAAATATTATTAGTGTTCTAAAGTCTATTTTTTTCTAATTAAAATAAGAAACATGTTATACTCACCTGCTCTGTGCAGTGGTATTGCACAGAGTGGGCCGGATCCTCTTCTTCCTCTTTGGCTCTCTGCTGGCGATCTTGGTTCCTCCTCTTCTTCGTGTGTCCCCAAAGCAAACCATTTGTTATGGAGGCACATGGTGTCTGCTCATCCTGAGCTGTGTGTCTATGGAACCCTGCTCCATAGACTCACACACCAGGACTTACCCCTGCACCCATTTCCTCCTCTCTGCATGTGATTGACAGCAACAGGATCCAATGGCTCCTGATGCTGTTTGAGTCTCTCTGTGTGGAGTAAGAGAGGAGAGAATGAATGCAGCGTGCACAGATCTCTTCTTCCCTCTCTTCCCCTTGCAAAGGGAGGACAGAGAAATATAAAACATTTTTTACCTTAATGCAAGAAATGCATTTAGCTTTAGTAAAATAGAAACAAAAAAAACAAAAATGTAGCAGGAAAATTATAATTGAATGGAGAAGGACAATAAGGAGTTAATTAGGTCTGATTAGAGTAAACTAAGGGTTACTGGGGGTTAAACAGAGGGGGAAAAAACCATAAACCCCTCCATAACCAAGATAAAACCTCCTTTGTGAGGGTATTGAAGGCAGATATACAAGGGGGCAAGAAGGGTTCAATCACTGAGGTTGAATTCTCAGGCAAAAGTTTGCAAGTGTTACAAAAGCAACAGCCCTCATAGAGGTAAAATATGCACAGCAAAGGGAGTAACCCCAAAACTAGGCAGAGATGTTCTGCTAGGCATACTGGCAACTGACACAGGACTGGTGAGAACAGAACATGCTCACGCAGAATGCTGTATAACCTAAGGTTTCTCACAAAACCATGCAACCAGACCTCAAGCCTCAGAGCAGGGGAAGTCAGGCTGGACTAAGTTCCTGCAGGCATCAGATGAAGATCCACAGTGTACTTCCCCCCCAGGGCAAGTATTATTATTATTATTACAGTATTTATATAGCGCCAACAGTTTGCTCAGCGCTGTACATTACAATGGGAGACAATACACGAGACAGTACAATAACAATACAATGCGATACACGAGGGGTTCGAGGGCCCTGCTTCTTGGAGCTTACAATCTAGGAGGGAGGGGATAGTGGTACAGGTGGAATAGCTGTGGGGGATGGAGTGGTAGGAAGACTGGAGGAGATCGGCAATTAGTAGAGGGCGGGGTAGGCTTCCCTGAAGAGATGGGTTTTCAGGGTGCACCTAAAGGAGAGGAGAGTAGGTGATAGTCTGATGGATTGGGGTAGGGAGTTCCAGAGGATGGGGGAAGCCCTGGAGAAGTCCTGGAGACGGGCATGGGAGGAGACCAGGGAACTAGAGAGTAGGAAGTCTTGTGAGGAGCGGAGAGTACGTTTTGGGTGGTATTTGGATATTAGGTTGGTGATGTAGTTTGGGGCAGTGTTATGGACAGCTTTGTACGTCAGTGTTATCATTTTGAATTTTATCCTTTGGGCAATCGGAAGCCAGTGGAGCGATTGGCAGAGGGGGGTGGCGGATACGGAGCAGTTAGTAGGGTGGATGAGTCTGGCCGCAGTATTCAGGATAGACTGAAGCGGGGATAGCCTGTGGTGAGGTAGGCCGGTGAGGAGGGAGTTACAGTAGTCAAGTCGTGATATGATAAGGGAGTGAATGAGTTGCTTAGTAGTTTCCGGGGTTAGGAACGGATGTATTTTGGAGATGTTGCGGAGGTGGAGTCTACATGCGTTTGTCAGCGATTGGACCTGGGGCTGGAAGGACAGATTGGAGTCTAGGATGACACCAAGTACTCTGGCTTGTGGGGTGGGACTGATGGTGGCATTGTTGGCCGTGATGGAGAAAGTCAGGGGGGGGGGGGGGCGCGGGCTGGGGTGAAAACTAGGAGCTCAGTTTTGGAAAGGTTCAGTTTGAGGAAGTGGAGTGACATCCAATCCGATATGTCGTTCAGTAGGCTAGTGATTCGGGCGGAGACTGAAGGGTGAGGTGAGGGGTAGAGATATAGATTTGCGTGTCATTGGCATAGAGATGGTAGTTGAAGCCGTGAGAGTGTATCAGTTGGCCAAGGGAGGAGGTGTAGATGGAGAAGAGAAGGGGCCCGAGGACAGAGCCTTGAAGGACCCCAACAGAGAGGAGGAATGAGGGGGGAGGTGGCAGCGTTATAGGTAACACTGAAGGAGCACTGTGATAGATAGGAAGAGAGCCAGGAGAGACCGGAGTCTCTGAGGCCAAGAGAGTGTAGTTTTTTTCTGTGTCGAAAGCCGCGGAGAGGTCGAGGAGTAGGAGCACTGAATAGTGGCCATTAGCTTTGGCGGTTAGCAGGTCGTTGGTGAGTTTGAGTAAGGCAGTTTTGGTGGAGTGTAGGGGACGGAAGCCAGACTGTAGGGGATCAAGGAGGTTGTTGTTGTTGAGGAGGGAGCTTAGGCGATTATAGACTAAGCGCTCAAGGAGTTTGGATGTAAATGGCAGCAGGGAGATGGGTCTAAGGTTGTTCAGGTCGGTGGGATCCAGGGAGGGTTTTTTCAAGTATGGGAGTGATGTGCGCGTGCTTCAGAGGGGAGGGGAATGCTCCAGTAGAGAGGCAGAGATTAAAGATGTGAGTGAGGGAGCGTAGGATGGAGGAGGAGGGAGATCGTAGGAGTTGTGAGGGGCAGGATCGAGGGGGCAGGTGGGTGGTGAAGCGGGCTTCAGAGAAGACCTTAGTGACCACTTCAGTGGTAGCAAGGTCAAAGGAGTGGAATGTTGAGGGGGTTTTAGTGTGAGGAATGTTAGGTGGGGTGGAGGTCTGGACAGTGGCGAGGGAGAGGGGTGTTGAGGGGGTTTTCATGTAAGGGGTGCTAGGTGGGGTGGAGGTCTGAGCAGCGGCGATGTCCCTACGAATTGCATCAATCTTATTTTTGAAGTGGTTGTCAATCTCGTGGGCGGTGAGCGAGGTACTGGGTGGAGGTGGGGGCGGAGAGAGTAGAGAGTTAAAAGTAGAGAAGAGCCGGCGAGGACTGGAGGAGAGGGTATTGATGAGGGTCACAAAGTAGGCTTGCTCGGCAGCGTGGAGGGAGGAAGTGTAGGTGAGGAAGGCAGATTTATATCGGGTGATCGCTAGTTGGATCTGGTTTTGCGCCATAGTCGCTCCAGTGCATGAACTGCGTCATTTGAGATTTTTGGTATGATCAGTCTGCCAGGGCTGAAGCAGTCGGGGTCTAATGCTTCGTGTGGTTAAAGGCGCTAACGATTCTAAAGCGGTTGACAGCGAGTTGTTATAAGCAGTAGTGGCCTGGTCAGGGCAGGGCAGGGGAAGGATACTGTCATAAAGTTGATCAGCTGCAGAGTGGAAGGGGGCAAGGTTCAGGTTGCGGAGGTTTCGGCTGCTGATAGTTTGACATTTGGAGGGGTAGGTGTTTGAGGACGAGGTAATAAGGTTGTGGTCAGAGAGAGGAAAGGGGTGTTTGTGAGGTTGTGGGGAGTGCAGAGATGAGAGAAAACAAGGTCCAGGATGTTCCCGATGGAGTGGGTGGTGGACTGTATACACTGTGCAAGTGCAAAAAAAGAGGTTAAGTGGAGGAGTTGGGATGTGGCCGGGTTATTGATGTTGATAGGGATTTTGAAGTCTCCAAGGATGATGGTGGGTAGCTCGGAGGAGAGAAAGAAGGGTAGCCAGGCGGAGAAGTCGTCGAGGAAGTGGGGCACGGGTCCAGGAGGCCGATAGATTACAGCAATCCTCAAGGGGGTTGGAGAGATTAGTCGGATGCAGTGGGCCTCAAAGGAGGAGAAGGATAGAGAGGGGGTTGTTTGGGAGGACTTGTAAGGTGCTCAGTGGTGACAGGAGCA